ATTAAGATAATAGAACTCAAATTTCTTATACTATAACCCACCCTGAATATTAATATGTATTAACTAGCCATTTTTATTATTAGAATAAGCTAGCTACTTATGCCTAACGATGGAGAGAAAGAAAGACTTACCCTTGGTTCTCCTTGGCTTGTTGTCTTCATTCCAGGAATCGTACTAAAGCTACAAGGTTGCTTTGGTCTACAAAGTGGAAGAAGTGTGCTGCCACATTGTATACATTCAATGCGAAAGTATCCCGCTCGATGAAATCGCTACATAATTCTGATATGACGTCCGCAATGATGGTTGTGATCATAACAAGTAAATCATCCATGTCAGGTGGTGATTCTACTAGATGTGTAGGTTATGGTCTTGGATTGGTAGTTTAGTGTATGTCCTCCATTGAGTGGTCTCTGCTGGGTGGCTGGGCTCCTGGCTAGTTGATGTAGGTCCGATGACAAATGGTTCACTAGAGCGAGATTCCTTCCTTGGGGTGATGGTTGCGGACATGGCAGCTGTCATTGGTCATTGGGATGCAGTCACAGTCTTGAACCTGAGGAATCCCCATTATGATGTAGTATATGGTTTATTGCAGTTTGCACACGTGGTCTGATCACATTGGTTGGGACAAGCAGCAACAGGGTGGGGACTTCTGCACCGGACACAGCAAGTGGCTACCATACAGGCAGTCATTCTATGCCCAAAGCATTGGCATTTAAAGCACTGGATGACTCATGGTTCATGGTCCTTGGCTGCTTCAACTTGGTAATGTGTGAAGAAGAGAGTGACTCCAGCCTTGATGGTTTCTTTGGCCCTCTTTGTGTCCATGATGGTCATCTTTACTAGTGACATGGGTAGTCCTGTCTGGGCTGACTTGATCCACTCCATCTTGACTGGATGGATCTCCTGGGCGGCAAGTTCCTTATTTACTTCGTCAATGGTGATATCAAATGATACATTCCGTATCACCAGGTCAGTTGGGGAGTCTGTCTCTATCGACATGCACAGATAGCTTGGCACCGTTGAATGCTGAGGCTAGCCAGGGCTTGAGGATGGTAGCATATCCTCTAGGTTGTAAACATTTCAGGACGACACCTCCTCTCGGCAGGCACCGTAAGTGGGGAAGAGTCAACACAGTTCCTTAACTATCTCTGGTTGACGAACTTCTGCTAGGATACCTTCAACAACGATGGCTGGTGGCATCTTGAGTGCAGCTGCTGGGGTGGTTGAATCAGTCGAGATCATAGGCTGTACTGGAGCTGGAGAAGCTGGCTTGGCAGGAACTGGAGAGGCTGGCTTAGTTGGAACTCAGTGATTTGGCTGAGCAGGCTTGGTGATCAACTGGTCCTGGCTTGGTGTTTGTGATGTAGTAGTCTTGACTGGTGAATTCACTGGCATATAGTCATCATCATCACTGGACGAAGGAGGATCAAAGGATTCCTGTTTACTAAGCAAACAGCAACCATGAGCCTCCAATAGCAGCTGGAACTGGTTTTCGGTTGTCAGTGGTTCACCAGATAATCGAATAGACATGTTCCTGGTCTTCATCAGGTAGTCAGTGTTAGGCTTCAATTTCCTGAAAATAAAATAACTCACAAAAGAATTAGATACTTAGATTTATAAACTTGTTTAGATCGCACTAATATATATAAAGTACTATATTTGCACTTAGTCCTGAAAAGGACTGTTTTTTAAGTTTTAGATTTGGTAGCATAGAGAAAAAAAAAGCACGTCCACACTGTTCAAAATCTCACACTCGAATGAAAAAAACCTTAAAAATGACTAAAGTGTAACTGCTCCCATTTATATTTATTATGGGTAGTTTTTAAAAGCATTAAACACTTGAATCAAATGACTTGCCATCACTCACATTTTAAATGAAGAATTACTCTAGTTACTCATCTCAGTTGTTTTTCATCCAGAAACCTATGCATAGCCTTATTCAGATTAGTGAAAAACCACAGTAAACTGAACAGAGTGTGAGAAGTCTGATATCAGAGAAACTAGTTTCGACACATTCGTGTGTCCGTCTGCAGTCTCACATTGTCTTCTGGTAGGAAAAACTGGTCAACACATGCCTATGTGACCTTGATCTTGGAATTCCCTTAAGAACACAGGAAGTCAAGAAATTGTTGAGTGACCTTGGGAGGTGTTGAAATTAAGCAGGTTTTTGATTAAGCAACTTTCAACGATTCTTCTTTTTATGTAGTTATCTGTTTTGTATAGAATTCTTGTTTATTTCCAATCAGTTTGATGGCCAGAATCTCATATGAAGAAAAATGAAAAATGATGACACAACCTTGTCTAAATGTTGTACATTTGCTGTTATGTTAAACTTATATTAAAGTTTTTCGTCATTACCCATTCAAGCCGTCTCCAAGCATTATTACTTCATGAATATTACTATAAAAAGACATCAGATGATAAAAATTAACGTTAATGGAAATTTTTGTTAAAAGTAGGCCTACTTGATTTAGCAACGAAATTTACAATTAATGTTTGTGAGATAGACTGTGAATTTGACATTTATATATCCTCTCTCTCTAAGCCTATCTACTATTTTTGCATCACTTAGTAGGCTATAACTAATTATCGGGTACCTTCCCACAATGACATGGTACCTCGCGTTATTTACACGCCGATGTAAACTGGTACCCTAAAGCGGGCACAGTGGAGCGATTTTTATTTCCCATGACAAGGAACTTCCAATCTTACTTCAAATGTGTTACGTCTAAAGCTAGGCCTAGGGACCTCTTCAAAATACTTCTTGGAATCGTAGGCCTAATGTCGGTGCCCATTAATGAAATTTTCTGGAGTGATAGTTTAAAAGATATTCTCAAGTAAATTCGTCTGCAATTGTTAAGTAGTGCACAGGTGGGGAAAAGTTGGTCCGACATTGTCTGATCCTCGTATGACAACCTTTCCATCCAGTGTATCATCCAAGTAGCCCTTCTCTGAACCCTCTCCAGCAATTCAATATCCTTTCTAAGGTAAGGAGCCCAAGACTGAACGCAGCACTACAAATGTGGCCTATACAATGGCATTATAACCTATTTAGATTTATATTCAATATTTCTGTAGATACAACTTAAAATCCTATTTGCCCTGCCAATAGCAAGAGCACATTGCTAAGATGGCTTTTAGACTGATCAAACAGAACACGAAAAGTTTTTCTCCCATACCACTGTTAAGGTTATTCCCATCAAAAGTATACTCATAATTCAAATTGTGATATTCCACATATATTACCTTGCATTCATTATGTTACGACAGCGGAAGTCACGTGACACTAGTAACACGTCATGAGATTCTGGAAGGATCTTGACTTTTCCTGGCAACTCTAGTCTTTTCTAGGCGCCCTTTATTTTAGTATATATGCCTGGCAAATAAAGCGGAGAGATGATTGCAGATAGATAGATATAGAGATATATAATTGAGTCAAGCGAGCTGTAGGCACCGTAAGTAAAGTGCGTGAATCGTTGTGAATTATAGCGTGTGA